GGCTCGGAGTGTACCGAATGGTTGTCTTATATAGCGGAGGCCGTTATCACAATCAAAACATTGGATTGATACTTCCGCACCGATTTGCCTGTTTGCCTAGCGGTCGTTTTCGCCTCCAGCGAACTCGAACCCGTGAAGCATTTTGCGGACGGACAGACATACGAACATACATACTTATCCTTCTACCAGTTTGGCTGTCGCGCACTACTGCGCGCATGGTTAACATGGTACTGGTCACTGTCGGGATTACTGTGTTGCCCACTAACACTTGGCTTAATTCCCATGTTTCGAAATACGGCCGATTGTATTGCATTTCTCTTTTTTAATGAACATTTGCCAGTGTCGGCTGCTTATCAAAATCTGAGAACACCCACCATTTGTTGGAAATAGGACAGCCTAGCGGTTGAAAGAGATTCGATGGTAACAATATCAAAATCCTAGTGCAATTAGTCCTCATCATTGCGGACCGGTGGGGCGTGGCAGTGCGGCTGCGTTTGGTGCGGTTTGGCAAAGTCGTTCTGCACCAGTTTTTGAAGCGGGCAAGTGCATTACTGTATTATATCCTTCGTATTACTCGTTTTCTACCACTTTTTGTCGCATACGCGTTGCAACAAAAAAGGCTGAGAACGGCTTCAACAGTGTGCGCACTCCTTCTGGCTGACACGCCCCACCGGTCCGCAATGATGAGAACTGTACGTCCTAGTACTTCCACTGAGCAGCTTTCACATATCTGTCTGTTGTTGGCTCTTATAATTCCTCAATGGCAAACAATTTGAGCTATTACTTTTTGTCGAAATCGTGGATTTAGCGGTCGTTCCAACTACATCGCTGAAGAATAAAAACATCTTAACTCACCACGGCTTTGCCCATTGATTCTGGGCTACAAAATCTAGTTCACACAACTTGTCTCGTAAAACCATTCCCGAGTGCTAGAAGCAGATCCCGCGTTACCACAATTCCTGTTATGAATTTTTAAGGCTTCCTCTCCTACTATTGTATTTTATCAGCCGAACAGCTGTTATGACTTCCGGCCACCCACCGATAATGTTCCCATCCTGCCCTCTATTCTACTTCTTGGAACGTTCTACCGTCGCTGTGGCCCGCTCAATGAAGTTGGTGACCCTCCTTTTCTGAAGCCCCTTATGCTTTCTTATCAGCTGTTATCACTTCCTGCCACCCATCAACAATGATCCTATCCTGCCCCCTACATCACTCCTTGGAAGCAACGCTCTACCGCCGCTGTGAACAGCGCTATGAAGTTGGTGGCCCTCTCGTTCTAAGCCCCCTTGTGGTATCTTATCACCTGTTATCATGGCCTGTCACCCACCAATAATGTTCCCATCCTGCACCCTATCTTACCTCTTGGAATTAACGCCCGGTCGTTACTGTGGCCGACGTTACGAATTAGGCAACTAACCCCTTCTAAGCCCCCTTGTGGTATCTTATCAGCTGTTATCATGGCCTGTCACCCACCAATAATGTTCCCATCCTGCACCCTATCTTACCTCTTGAAACCAACGCCCCATCGCTGCTGTGGCCCGCGCTATGGAGTTGGTGACCCTCCCCTTCTAAGCCCCGGTATGGTATCTTATCAGCTCTTATCACTTCCTGCCATCCACCACAATGCTCCTGCCCGACCCCCTACATCATTTATGAATTTGAGCGCTTTATCGCAATTTTGAAGAAAGTTATGAATTTCCGGTCAAACACACATACATACACACACACTCACACCAACAGACAAACTTAGCGGATTATATATAGTAGGATTCTATAAAGCAGAAACTTTGTGTGTCGGTTTGTCGTATGTATGTATGTATGTATGTATGTATGTATGTCCGTCCGCAAAATGCTTCACGGGTTCGAGTTCGCTGGAGGCGAAAACGACCGCTAGGCAAACAGGCAAATCGGTGCGGAAGTATCAATCCAATGTTTTGATCGTGATATCGGCCTCCGCTATATAAGACAACCATTCGGTACGCTCCGAGCCATTGCACGAGCTGCTGGCGTGGCAGCTGGACGTGTGCTCGTGCGGGGGCAGGGTGGGGTGGAGCCGAGGGGGGGGGACGCCCAGTGCCCCCCCCCTCTGCTTCCTTCCCCTGCGCGTGCTCAGCCCGATCTGAGCATGCGCAAGGGAAGGAAGCAGAGGGGGGAGTCCCACTGGAACACTGGGGCGTTTGTTCCAAGGTATGATATAGGTTACGGCACAGGGATATGTGGGTGACAAGAACTGCTAGCTGCTGATAAGGGGAGTTAGAGTGGAAAGGACAACATACTCATAACGCGGGACGTACATCAGTTAGGCGTATTTCAGCAAATGGTATCAAGGGGAAGGTGGAGAAGGCGACGGCGGGTGACAGGAAATGATAACTGATAGGGTCTGATAGAAAACGATGCAGTTGTTGCTCAGTCAAATGCTGAAGCCTCTACACCACGAAATTATGGAGTTTTAGTGATAGCGACATTGATGACGGGTGACAAGCAATTTTATCAGTTGATAAGTAAAGATAAGGGGACATTCTCACGACATCTCTGACCACTATACTGCCAAAAAAAGCCTCTCAGTAAGCAAAATTTTCCCACAGCCATCACTCCTTTGATAGCACTAAAAAATGTACTCATCCCACTAGGGGGGGGGGGTATATACTTCGCCTGAAACAGGAAGTTTGGAAAAATCAAAAACTTCAATATTGGAACACACTTTATGCGTTCAGTGAGTATTTAACTTCTTTTTTGCTTTTCAACTTTTAATCACTGATGAGAACGAATAACGAAGTAGTTTGTGAGATATTCACGAACGCCGCCTAAATATTGTCATCTGCAGCCATTCATGCAGGTGAACATGCTTGGCAGGTGGATTGCATGTTAATGACAAATTAATCGCCCAGCGTTGGTGTTGTGATGCAGGTAATAAAAACGGGATTTGTTCGTCTACTGTGCAACACATATTGATATTCTGTACTTCCTTTATACTTCTAAGATCTACGTATAGAATGGGCGTTATGGCCGAAACCAGCAGGCCTTTATGAGGGGTACAGATTTCGCTAGGTTACTCTGTCTATTATGATTCGACCACTAGCGCGCAATATGAGCAGCTCAGGCAACTTAGGCTGCGTTTATACTTTGCGGCAGCGTAGCGTAGCGCTTCCAGCGTACGCCAGCGGCAGTGCCGAAGAGAGGATGCATATCGATCTAGCTTCACCAGCGGCACGCTAGCGCACGCTGGCGTAGCGAGGGCACGGGAAGCATAGCTATCGATCTAGCTTCACCAGCGTTTCTCCAGCGTTTTCCCAGCGCTTCCAGCGACGGGGCTAGAGAGGGGCTAGAGAGCACTGGACGGAGGAGAGTACAAAGTACTCTCCTCCGTTCAGTGCTCTCTAGCCCCGTCGCTGCAAGCGCTAGCGGGGCTAGAGAGCACTGAACGGCCGCTGGGAGCGCTGGGAAAACGCTGGAGAAACGCTGGTGAAGCTAGATCGATAGCTATGCTTCCCGTGCCCTCGCTACGCCAGCGTGCTGGTGACGCTGGTGAAGCTAGATCGATATGCATCCTCTCTTCGGCACTGCCGCTGGCGTACGCTGGAAGCGCTACGCTACGCTGCCGCAAAGTATAAACGCAGCCTAACAAATTCCTTTCCGTGCGCCTGGCGAAGCCAGGCCAGCTCGGCGAAGCCGAGCTGAAAAGAAGGAGGAGAGCTCGGCGTCAGCCGGGCGATCCGACTGGTAAAACATATAAACGACACACAAAGTTACTGGTTTATAGAATAGAAGGTTGCTCCCCGCTTTCTCAGCGGAGGTCGTTGGGGGAGATTCCGCGAAAGTGGGGAGACATAGATGCAGAGAGGCAGAAGCATAGAGGCGAGGGGCACTGATAAAGAAAAAGAAAGCGGAGATCTACTGGGGAAAAATCTCCCCTTCGAGGGGAACTATAGCATACGGCCCCAGAAAATAACGTGACTATGACTCGCCGAATAGAGGCCTCTTCCGAGATACAACGCTAAAACCTGCATTATGTCAATAGTAACAACGTTTTGAGACACGTCGTTGACGTTCTATGTGATCTTAATAACCGACCATCCATCTCTCGATAGGTAATGAACCCAACCGCATACCTGCTCTATATCGACACCCTAATGTTTATCACATCTCACTGAGTAGCTTTTATATTCAGAGGGCATGACGCAAGACCGCATTACTTGGTGTATGGTGTTCACAGCGATTGATTCAGGCGTTATTTGTTCCATACTCCTCGCTCTCACAACAACACACGTCTAGCCGTTTCCGCTTCCTTCTCAATTTCCGCGCAATTTCCGCGCTCAGTGAAGGCCCCATCAGCGTGAAGTTGCACACCTAAATGTGCGACCTAACCTCCTGCTACACATCGGTAAGTGGCCAACATTACTGGAATAGGGGAGGTGCAAAGCAATCGTCCGCTGAGAGCGCTGCTGGGCATGGCAGCGACGTCGCACTCGCGAGTATATAGTTGTCGAGCGTGTGCCCTGCATTGGGGAGACAAGCAAGAGAATCGCAAATAGCCGCTTTGCCGTGCGCGGCAGTGGGCGCGACGAAGCGGCTATTGGCGATTTCCTCATTGAACTTCCCTTTCAATTGAAGCATCGTATTCTATGTGGACAAGCATTTCGTAGACACTAATGTCTATTTTTGCTCATACTTTGTCTATTCCCGACCAAAACCACGGACAATCGTCGTCGTAAGCGGGGCGCGACGTCGCACGCGACGCTCACAGGCGCGGCAGATCACGATTCTCCTGCCACATACCTCCGCATTGTGTTTTTGTCCCAACACTAGGGACATTTTAATTTGATTGCGATGTAAAATATCCGCCTCCGCGTTAGCGCTACGTAAAAAGTCCGCTTCTGGACGCGGCAGGAACCAACATCAGGTTTTAGCTCTGCTCTTCGCGCGTTATATCGCGCTGGTAAGGGCGATGTTCAGATGATTGTTTTCTACAGCACCCTACGAAGTGTCCCCTAATCAACATCCTATACGAGAAGTAGCGACTTACTTCCTAATATTGATGGGAGCAACGGCATCCGCTTCCTGCAGAACGCTGGAGTACAGCTGCCAGTTGTAGCACCTTCACCTTCAACACCCAGGCGTACACACCACTTCGTGAGGCCTGAGACTCGAAATGAACCCGTCCTGAAAGGTTTGTTGTTTATCTACATACGTACGATAGCTTATTCGGGTGGTAAGGAAACCTACGGAACCTCTTCATTTCTATATATCTCCCGGTATTTCCGGCTGTGCTTGCCGCCCTTGCAGAATCAACACCATTCAATGAGCGCTCTCACAAATTTGGACCCGCCCAACACTTCCCTTCTTTCACAGCAGAGAGGATGCGGACAAGACGTTGGAGTTGCGGCGGCATAGATTTGAAAGGGGGAAGGCGTGCTACCGCTACGTGGTAAACAGTGATTAAACCAGAGTTCATGAAGGATTCGAGAAAATACGTGGAATAGTTGGAGAACAGAATTATCAAACGTGAGCCACGAAACGAACCTGAATAAGCCTACGACAACTTCGTTCCCGTATGCTGCCGCATCTCGGATCTCTTGACCAGTGCCTAAGCTGTCATACTTTCAGTAGAATCCTATCGGCTTCTATGTATCATAGTTGCTCACCTATGAAATCACGATGAAATAAAGAACATACACTCGCTAGTTGGGAGCTCGATTAGCATAGGGACGAGTGTCGACGAAAAAGCTCAGCTATTCCCAATGAAATAAACACCCCCAAAACATTTATCCAGTCAGCTCCTTTTGTCTCACCTCCCACCCCAAGGTTGTTTATGGGTACCAGTCCCCTGCCAGGATGATGGGTAGGTCGATCCGCAGAGCGGCTGGCACCCCCCCCCCCCCCATGTGGCATAGACAAGTCGCCTACAAAATACCGCTGAAATTTTGAATGGCAACAGAATGAGTGGCGCATTCCATGGAAGAATGCATCCAAGCGCGAAGTTAATCCCACAGGTAATACAATTTTGACGAAAACATATATTTCCATACCGATGGAGGACAGCTATCATTATTTCATAACAAAATCACATTTGAAAAGAAGTTAATCAATAACCTAAAATTTCTACAACATGCAAAAACAGTCTTCAGGCAACATTTGAAAGGGAATACAAACTGAAAAGAAAAAGCAAAGCAGAACAAGTACAGGTGGGGCTATTGGCTGAATCATGCACATTCTTTCATCTTCAACGCTCGCGCCTTCACCAGATCGCAGTGACAGCTTAAGGCCATCGACAAAACTGAAAAAAAACCATGTTAAACGCGAATTCGTGTTCAAAGGCGGAACTGCCCCTCAGTTCTGGATCCTTTCTATATACGAGGAGCAGCAGCAAAAGTGCAACACTCCCGCCTTCGAAATGCGCGGTAAAGGAGCTAGAGCTTTGTGAAAGCTTGATGTTGCTTATGCCTCCGCACGCCACTCTGTACGCGATACGTACACCACAGCCACGCCACACGCCATACGGCCAGCCATACGCCCGACTATGACCACACAACTGTCTGAGTGGTGTGTTTGCAACGTCAGTGTCGCGTACCAAACTGCGAAAGAAGCCAAAAGAAACATCTGATATCATAAGCCTTCAGCTCCATTACTGCGCAGTTCTATGCACTATGAGCATCGGATGGGATGCAGTTCTACTGCTGGTGATCTGCCCACCTAGTACACTAACAGGATCCGCCCTTCGGTGATCGTGTGAAGTGCGCCTTGAAAAGCAGTGGGTACGATTGTTGGAAGCGGGCCGTTGTTGCCAACGTCACTGGTGGAAGAGCTGCGGAGCGGCGTTGTGCCCACACCTCACTCCCCTTTCGCCTCACCAGCAACCTTTGCAACAACCGCTTGCCCCAGCAATCGCGGACCTTCAGGTAGTGTTCATACTTTGCGACGACAGCGCTTATGTCGCGCGTTGGACGCGATCGATGCAATCGGAAGCATGTTCATTGATCGTTCAATCGCGGCGACCGATGCCCGCCGTCGCGAAGACTGAACCCTGCTTTAACGAACTTAAAACTAAGCAAGCTACAGAACTTTTCATAGTTGACGACGGGACAATCCGACCATTTCTCAATTGTATCTAGAGCCCATGTGAAAGTGCGCAGATCCTGAATGTAAAGGATTACTCTTATCGCAAAGCGAAGCTGTAAAGCAGAGCAGTGAGGCATGTTTTCAACATTTCGCCTCACTGCGAGCCACCGACCTGCTAAGTTCATTCATCACTGTCAGTGTGCCTTCTGAGATTTTAGAGCGGGAAGTTAATTTGTTCACTACAGCGGATGACTGGGGCGTGTCTCGCTCTGCGTCTGGCACGTCGCCAAACGTCGTCTTTACCAATTTTCGATGGGCATGAGGTAACAGCTGGTAGGGAACGAGTGACCAGAAGATAGGATACAGCCCTGTCGTTTTACCAAAAAAAAGAAGAAAAACCGTCTGGCTCTGAGCGCAGTCGCGCGGACACACCCTACCATCCGTATGAAATCAGACCATATTTGGTTTATTTACGGTAAATCCCTGGTGTGTATAGCGTCCGCATTATATGGATTTTTTGTTGGGTTCCGAAAACGAAACGAATTGTGGGAAGCCCTAAGCCACAGGTCCTTGGCATCATTGTCACGCACTCTAAAGCCCTCAAGTAGCATAACCTCAGTACCGCAATAAACCTCTCACGAAATTGTCCCGTGATAATGTAGATCCTGCCTTCAATACCGGTCAGAGTGTTGCCAACCGGGCATGATCTCGCTGCGAGGGTCCAGAGGTGTTTTCTCATGCAACCCAACGACCTAGCAGTTGAGAAGAGAGGCTACCATGGGCAGGAGGGAAGAAAGCAGGATAGCGAGAGTAAAAGAAGAAGAGATGAGAGGAAAAAAGGAAAAGAGGAGGGTGAAGGAAAGATACCTCGCGGTTGACAAGTATCCTGAGACGCCACTCATGCAATACGTGCCCTACCAAAGCGACTGCCTCATTTTAGTCCCCAGCCAAAACGGACGAATCTGCTGGCCACTTTTAGTACTTCAGTGAGCATCTACAAGCCTTCTATGTCACTGAATCCTCGGGGCAGGTGGGGAAAAGGTAGGGAAAATCAAAATTAGAAGAGAAAAACGTGCAAAACTTACTTGCAAGATCTTCTCTCTGTCAACTTTTGGCTCAGCGGTTCCTAGAAGGTTCCAGTCGTCATCTTCATGCTCCATTTCTTTCTTTGGAGCTTCGCCACATTCCGAAAGAGGGGAGGACTCTTTCAGAGATACTGTCCATTCGCGTTTACTCTGTTCGTCATCTGATTTTGATGCGTTGGTCTCGGTGGTGACTGAAGCACATTCTCGGCAGTCCTTGATGGAAGCTGATGGACTGCAGGATTCAACCATCCGCGTGCTCCGTCTAACCTGCTCAAGAAGGAGGCCGTGACATGCAACTTTTGGACTGCCAAGACTGTCTTCGAGGTCTTCGTATTTTTCAGCTGACTTCTTCGAAGTACCACAAAATATCAAAGATCCAACCCGCTTTCGAATTGACAAACTTCGCGTTTGTTCCTCCTTCAACGATACAGTCTTCGAGTACGGTCAGCCTAGTTCCGACTGTTGCTGGTGGTTCCTCTCCTATTTCAGATTCGCGAGCCATAAACGTTTCAGAAGTGGGCGCAGTGACATCGGTGCCAGAAGTGGCTCTTGCTGAACATGGTGTCCGAAGAGTCCTTCACAGTGAGTCCTTCATGAGATCGTGAAATAGTCGACAACTTTTCGTTCTCCATTTTGGCATCTTCACAAATCCCAGCCCCATTTTCCCTCTCTGAATCGATTAACATTTCCTCCCAGTTATGGGATGTCTGCCTTATAGCATATATAGACTTGGCGAATATATGCATGTCTTCCTGGAACGTACAAAATTCAACTCATTTGGCTATTTCACAAAAATCATCCCGAACCTTCGTACGTTCTTTGTCACGATCGACTGCCAAAATCATCACCTGAGATAGAAGATCCGCATCGTCAGCATTGAAGTTATCTGAAAGAGTAAGAATCTCGAAGCAGTACAGAAATTCAGCAAACTACAACTTCTACTTCAGACTTTTTGTAGACATCGAGTGATTTGATCCTTGCAACGCCAGTCTGCGTCGTCAAATCTCTGACAGACCTTCGCGGCTTCGCGCTATGGCCCTAACAAGTGGCAGTTCTGATGCTTCCATATTTGTGTAGCCCACGTAACTCGGAGGCTATTTTATGTCATGAGTTCAGTATTTTACACGTTCGCTTTGCGTTTTATCTTCCTTGGAAATCCAGAAAGTATCAACGGTTGAGAATGACCGGAAAGTTCCGTGAGGCAGAGGCGGCGATATATATCCTTTTGCTGGCTCAAAAACGAGCAGGTCCGAAGGACTCGTCCAGGAGGCTGGCAAGGGTCCTCTTTTAGGGTATTCTAGGGAATATTTTTGACTTCCCTGGAGGATCACTTAGTAACTTGAATTCGTAACTGAATGCCACTAACCACAAGATACAATTACGTTGAGCTGCTAGGAGCAGTCCAACACATCCACCTTGCAGCAGTGAGCTCAAGCTGGCAATGTTCCCTAGGTAATTGCAATACTGCCATGTTGATACGTGGTGAGAGTGACGCAGTGTCGCACCTCTTGAATCTTTGCTTCGGCTACGTCGCCTTTACTCAGCTGTACAGATCCACACCCCACAAACAGACAATCCCACAAGCAAACCAAATACAGCAACCGAGGCCTGCTTTACCGTGGGCAGGGTACAGCATCGTGATGTGTGAGGTGGTGGTGTAGATACGACCCACTCCCCTCCAAAAGAGGATAAGTCAAACAAGCCCTCCTCCCTTCCCCATACACCTTACCTACCCAAATTCCCCACATTTTCCAGCTCCAGTTTTCATCCAAAATTTTCCCGGAATTGTGGAGGTCGGTAGGTATATAGCCAGTGTCAAACGGGAGGATTTCCCCAACTTCCTACCACTTTTTCCGGATTTCCCGGATATTCTCCTACTTTTCCCCAAAATTATGAAATTTTGTTGTCAAAAAGGGGGAAGGGGGTATGTAGTGCACATAAAACAGGAAAAACCACGCAAAAGTCAACAACCGAAAAAAACCAACAGCAACACATTCCTTCTCAAAAGGCATGTCTGAGTCAATGATGGGAAAAGATCGGAAGTTTTCTTCATATTACCAGTGAACCGCCAACAAGTACGCTGCACTTCTGGGCGATTGGGGGGGGGGTGAGGGCGTGACTGCGACTGTCATTCAAAGGCGGTGGCGACTGCGGTCGGTCGGTTGAATTTTACCGTTCTGAAGCAATTGTAAAGATGTCTCTGCTCAGCACAAGACAGGGTGATAGTTGTCCCAAATGAGAATATCCCACCCCAAACAGGTCCTACACCGTGTTCAAGTGAAGCACCACAGTCACGGCCTCTCCTCTTCAAGATATACAATGTGCACCACAGTGGCAAATTTTCGCGGCGTATAAACACGCAATATGACAGTCACCTTCCTCTTGAGTTGGTTCTACGTTCTAGTTGCCTCTGTAAGCCCTCTTCAATAAAGCTAGCCCTAAAAATGAAAGTGGAGAAGGAAAACTTTACCTCTGATGAAGTTCTCGAAAAGGCTGGAGTTATCACCAGGCCAGGACGAAAGAATCAGAGGAATCTCATGGAGTGTTTGCAAGTTCTTCATCACAACACCACCATCATTCCATGGATACTTAAATGTTCAGTACAATAATATACCTTGGAAGATATGAGTTTCTTAACCCACTTTCGAATGCAAGTTCAACAAAAAATCCTAGGAACTTGTACTCAAAATTTAGGGACTTGGTACCTGTATAGGAACTCTGCCGATCCCATCGCAAAGAGGAAGAATTGCCACTTTTTGATACCACGTGAAGTTCTGAAATAAAATCAGAATTGTGGAACGGTATATAAAAAGATAAATAGTAAGAGAGCTGGAAAACTGAGGCACGCGACCTCGCGGCCGTTCTCGACCCCTGCAAGTGCTGGTCTTCTGGGAGGGTGAGCACCTTTAGTTAGAGTAGCATACGGTAAGATACTGTTGCCACCACCTAGCGCATATCCGCAGGCCTGCCTGCGGCATGACCTTACTTAATTGCGCTGACTGCTGACCTCTCACTGGCTGCTCAACGAAACGACATAAATCGAATCGAATTCATCTTTTAGTAGGATATGATATGTGTAGATAAGTAATTTCCCAATTCCATAAATATTAGAATGAGGATAAATGTTCCTATCGAAAGAAACCCTGCTTAAATTGGGTAACCCGAGTTCAGTGAAATACCAGTTCCGTCTTACGCAGGTTATATCTTGTTTCTCACATACCACACTCCTTCGCTTACCTTTCATTAGAGGCAATCGCCTCTGGTGCTCCCATGGGTGCCTTTATTCGACGCAAGGGGTCTGAATACGCGGCCAGTGGTCGTTCTTTGATTGCACCCATGGTGTTCAATGGGACCAGTGGTCCTCTTAGTGTATTCCTTTCCCAATGTTTGCTTTTCTTTGCTTTCTAATTAAATTATCAGAAATACCTGTTTTTAGGTGTACCTCATACATTGCATGACCTTCCAAAGCAAATTGATTCTTACAGGATGATCTATCACCAGGGCACATCAAATTGGTTAGGATTTTGATCCGAATTCCGTACTGACCTCCCCCCGTCCCCGCTTTGAGGAGTGACCTTGATAGCTACGAACCCCCCCCCCCCTTTCCCGGACTACCGTCCCTGCCCTCAAAGCTGTCGAGAGACAGGGCCAATTCACTGATTGGGGATTTTAGTACCGAGTCCGGCATGAACCCCACATTTTTTTTTTGAGGTTGGTAGCGACCCCCCCCCCCGGCCCTTTGTCCCTCCTGAGCATCGCGAATCCAGCCGTCGAGCGGGGAGGGGAGGGAGAGGGGGGAGGGGGTAAGTAGCACATGTGAAACAGGAAAAGCCGCGAGACCATACAACCTCCCCTTTCCCCAAGTTCCTCCTACATTTTCCAAAATTTCCCCTCAAACTTCCCTACTTTTTTCCCAAAAATTTTGCTGTCGAGCGGAGGGAGGGGGGATATAGTACGCATGAAACAGGAAAAATCACCAAAAGTCAACCTAATCCACCCCCCACCACTCAATGAAGCTAGAAAGGCCAGAAAGTGAATACGATTCCCCCCTCCCAACAATGAGCAAGTAGCGATCCCCCCCCCTTTTCTTACAACGTCCGTGAAGCGAGAAAAATCAACTGTCGAAATGAATTTCTGAATTTGAAAAACATATAGCTGGATGAGAACAACATTTCTATTTCCTGTTTATTTGGATAAATAGAAAAATAGAAATAGAAAATAGAAATAGAAATGAGAACAACATTAACAGAAGACTTTTGCAGGAGGGTGGCTAAACACGTAACTAGTAAAACTATATAATTTTTGGAGTGTTGAGTAGTGTATTTATTTCGTTAAATCTGGTGCCAGTACAAAGAAATTTCCTTTTCTAACACTCACTTGTAATTGCGTCGTCAGTATCTCCTTTCGCTGAGCAGACAGTGAGAGGTCAGCAGTCAGCGCAGCAATTAAGTGAAGACATGCCGTAGGCAGGCCTCGGGATATGCGCTATTGGTGGCAACAAGTACCCTTACCGATGCCACCCAACCAAAGCCCGCCACCCCTTCTGGGAGGTTCGAGGATGAGGGGGTACTAACAGCTGCTGCTCGACGCTTAAGCCAAGGTGGTCGGCCCCGCATCAAGCTGCTAAGATCAAGGTGAGCAAGCGTTCTGCCTTAGATCCATACCGTTTAGTGATTTACTGGCTTGTTGAAAGTCTTGAGGACTGTTGAAGTGTTCAGGCAAACAAGAGCTTCGACGGTCTCATTAGTGGAACCAAACTCCTCGGGAAATTGAACAACTCTGCCAGGACCCATAGACTTCCCTGGCAAAAAGTGGCCAGCGCTATGGTGCAGCTGCGCCCTACAGTGGTGTGCTCAACGACAACGCGGGAAGTGTTTGCAATTTTTTGAGGTTCTTGAACCTTTTACTGAGTGTATCGTCATTGCAAACACATCTGGTGCTCTTTTATGACGATTCTTTCATGCACATAATGTGATGCCATCATTGAGTGGGATATAGAAACCACTTAGCGTAGAGGGAAGTTTATTTCTACTTTCGCATGCAGGGCACATCGTTCTTGGGGAATCCCCAATAGGATGGGGATCGCAATTGGGGATGAGAGAAAATTTATTTTGACAGTTGATTTTCTCGCTTCACGGACGTTGTAAAAGGGGGTCGTCGTACTTGTCCACTCTTGAGTGAGAGAGGGGGCGGTCGTATTTTACTTTTGGCCTTCTAGGAGTAGTGGTTGACTTTTCGTGATTTTCCTGTTTCACATGTGCTACTATAACCCCCCCCCC